AAAAAAAGATAAGTAAATGAATAAAGGATATTTTTTTTTTTTATTAGGACGTAAAAAATCTGATGGTGAATATCATGAACCATGTGAACGTTCCGAATTTTATCATATGAGTGATCTAACTAAACGTGCTGCTTTATTTATTGGACCTGATGAGTATGATTCACGTTACCTTGAAAGTAGTCTTGCATTTGATCCGTTATCAGAATTGGAACCGGTTACAAAACGGCCTAGAACATCGGAAAGGAGTATGTCTTTTTTTTCTTTTCTTTTTTTTTTTTTTTCTATTAACTTTTTTCATTTTTCATTTTTTTTTCCTTTATCTTTTACTTTTTCTTTCTTGGATTATTCATTTTTCAACAATTTTATTTTATTATAATTAATAAATTAATGCCCATTTTAAAATAATATTAATATTTCAAAAAAAAAAAAGAAATTAAAATTTTTGATAAAAAGAAAAAAGATAAAATTTTAAAAATATTAATTAATTTTAAATTTTACAAAAAAATTCTCCATTATTTTACAGTTTCATTTCATTACGTATTAATGAATTAATATCACTTTAGAATTTAAAAAAAAAATAATAATTTACTAATTAATTTTAAATTTTGCAAAATTATTTTAATTAATTACAATTAGTTAATTAATTGCAGGTTTGGAAATTGTAATATATTTCAATACTCTTAGCAGTAGTTTTTTTTTTTTCTCAATTATGATGAAAAAAAAAGATTTATTTTTTCTTTTAATATGAATTTTTTAGAATATTATATAGAATAGAATAGTGATAATTGAATTCATAACATCGATTTTAATGAATTAATTAAACGAACTAAATTCACTTAAGGAATTATTGTTTAATTAATTACAGTATTAATGATTTACAGTTTTTGCAAGAATAATCGTTCCAAGTTTTGCCAGTATTTTTATTTCAATCCTTTTTATGTCTAATCGTTTTGCTTTTTTCTTCTCCTTTTTTTTAGTCACATTATTTTGACATTTAAATGATATTTTAAATGATAGATTAGCATAGATAATTTTTAATTAATTATAATTAGCATATAATTAATTTTTGATCGTATACGATAATAACAATTACAACAGCTACTACTATTTTTGCATTGATCTTAAAGATAAATTAATAGCTTAGTATAGACAGTTTTTAATTAATTATAATTAGTATATAATTATGTTAAAGCATTATCAGGTATTTTATACTGATAAATCATATTCGTTGATAAAATCAACACTCCAAAAAATGCCCTCTGCTTGCTATTTGATTGGTTGATGCTTCAATTGTGTCAATATACCGTATACCTAAGATAAGCTACTTTACACAGTTGCTTGTCATGACAACAAATGTTGATGATTAATTCAACAAATCGAATGTCAAATTTTCATTCTAACAAAAAAAATTTTTTTTCCGGTGATACTGTATTCGTACTCTTTTAAATGATCTTGTCACTTATGATTAGATCAGTTTAAATTTTCCACTATCCAAATTTGATGATTCGTTTTTTTTTTTAGCCAAAACTAAGTTGTCGAATTTTTTTTTTATGTTAGGTAAAAAATATTAAATCAAGACTATCCTATTTTTATAAAAATAAAATTGAAAAAATTTTTTTT